TGGGGTTTCCATACCATCATGCCGTGTCTTAGTTTGGCAACCCCTAATATCCTTCCAACCACTACCTACCTTTGAAAACATCTCAAACAAAGGAAGTTTACTTGGTGACATGTTCCAGCCAATTACGGATGTCGAGCACTTGTTCCAATGAGCAACCACGATTGCCTAAATTTCTGACCCCAACCTCGCCACTGCTTGTAACGGTTTCCTCACCAAAGTCGTGCAATGCAACGTAGACAGTAGTGTTCAAGCACAGACAGTCTAGCTTTATCCTGTTTCCGTAACGGCCAGATGAAAAATAAACGAGCAGTCGTACGAAAACAAAGCGTTCCCGATCTCGGATATGAAATAGGATCTACAGTCAACGATCAAGGGGAAAAAGTATATTGTGAATGAGTAATAAGTGACGGATGGGTCTGAGTTATATCATCCATGTTATCCAAACACAGTTGTGCAATGCTTTCTAGACTTTGTGTCGAACGTGTGATGACTCACAGTTGAAATGGATTTGAACTGACTATCCTTCAGACTTCAAGTTCATGCACAATCCTCAGCTCTTCCAGTCAAAAATACATTCGGAAGCACTAGACCCAAGTTTCGTGTTTATTACAGCTCATGAGTTGTGTATATCCACTGTTCCGTCCTAGATTCAAACTCTGAACTCATCGCAGAGAAGGTGTGCGTTACCACTGTGCCCCCGAGCTCATAACAGGGCTGAACCAGATTTCCAATTCGTTTTAATTTTTCAGGTGTCATGTTCAGTGATACTCAGTCAGTTAATTTTGGCCTGACAACGGTGAAGGAAGACACAGTTGACGATCTGTTAACTCCAATCGAAAGCCAAAATTTACTGAATGCGTATCACTGATGTCTACCTAGATTCCAGTGCTCTTTTTGTTCATATATACGAAAAACTGGACAAAGGAGGATGGAAAATTATTCAGAAACAAGATATAAAGAGATCAATAGGAATCCAAAGTGTATTTTAGCGTTCCAATAATCTCACGTGATATGAAACTGTCCTAATCAATGTAACTCACATATCGTGCCCCGCATACCAACAAAATCCATTCGGCGTTGGAGTTCACGGTGTATTGCAGCCACGATTTTCAGCATCTGGTTTCAAAAATTCCAAACTTCGTCGAATCTCATTATTGAAATTCGAACTTTTGCGTTGCAACTGAGCTCTCTTTCACACTCTATGTCCAATACTGATCATTTTGTACAGTTCTTAGACCATAAAATACTGTGCAACATATGTCTAACGATTAATAAATTGTAAAAAGTATTGTCTTAACAAAGGAACTGTGATTGAAAATTAAATTTTCTACCCTTGAATCAAGAATGTCCTTTTGTCCTAATAATTATTCAGTTATTGAAAATTTTCACATCTTTCGCTTGGTGTTGGCTTCCGTAATCACCAAATCAAGATGTTTACATCGTGAAACTGAATCGTAAAATTGGAATGTTGCTATAATTCTTGCGCACCTCCCGGTATTCAGCTAGCTTTGCTTGGCAGTAGGAATGTTCGAAGCCGGTACGCAATACCAACTTGTGAATGCCACAATTTAGCCTTTTTCCACCCGACTTGCACTGTGCAGTGGAAGGGTATCTCAATAGGACTATGTTCGATTACGGTGACAAATATCATCGAGCTCAGAATTCATACTCAGAAAAGTGCATTTCGAAAAGCATTCCAATTTTTAATGCATAATTACTCATAAAATTTTGCAAATATCATAAAATGTACAGTGCAATTCTACAGTCCGTGTTACGCTACCTTAATCGAAGTTGGTTCGATAAAGACATCTTATTCGGTTTACATACAACACCCAACTCCGGAATACAGTACACAAACCGAAGGTTCGTTATCACTGCCCTTAAAAACTAATGCAGTTCATCTGTGATTTACGGAGAAATATCAATGTTTCTAAATGCAAAGTCCTATCCGCAGGAGTAGATACCCGTATTTCTTTTGAAATCAACACCTGCCAGATACCTCAAGTGAGAAGGGCTTAGTTATCACTGTTCAAGAAGAGTTAATCTTGTTTTCGATAACTTCCTCCTCGGGTTAATACAGTTATATATAGGGTTCAATATTGTCAAACTGCTGTAATGGTCCGATGCGGTAAATATGATAGTGATCTTGACATCAGAGGGAACGAAATCAACCATGGCATCCCAGTGGATAATTTAAGAGTTGTTCAAATTGTTGTTTGGCAGATTTGACGTTTGTATGGCGATTGTGAAAAGTTCAGTAGCCTCGGTGCGATTCGAACCCAGGCATGGACGCAACCGACATGCAAATTTCAAATCCGCTAAACAACAATTTGAACAATCAATCTTGTCTTAGAAGCTCATTTGGTGGACTCCGGTGAATTCTAAGGAAATCCTGTCGGGGCATTCAGCTTAATTGCTAACTGGTGAATGCCACATGCCTCTGTGCGTTGGATGGGTAAAGTCGAATTTGAAAAGATCAGTGCTATCGTTGTGGCCTCGTAACTCAGCTGGTAGCGTGTGTGCGTACAAGGCGTAGGCGGCGTCCATGCGTGGGTTCGAATCCCACCGACAAACAATTTTAGAGTTATCATTGCATTGCACACATAAAATCCGGTTCGGTTTTAACGGAGAAATCTATCGCCAAACGGACGGTGTTGAGATGTGATCACCTCTTGGACCTTTATTATGTATTTCTGGCCAAACTGGAAAATGGGGTCTTACAAAACATGATAAGATGCTTCCCACTCTACTGTCGTTATACGGGTGATGCTTTCACCTTGATCGTAGATCAAAGGCAAACAGATCCACTTTTAACTGCCTTCAATAATGCCCACACCGCCATCAGTTTTACGTCTGAATTGGAACTGGGAGAGAATTTTCACTTTCTAGAATAAAAACGCAGAAGATGCTACGGAAGAGCGGTAAAACGTTCTGTTTACCACAAACCGACTTGAAAGGGCAATACTCTAATTTTACCAGCTTTCTGCCTCTAAAACTCAAGAGAAATTTAGTCCAAATCCTTGCGTATCGAGCAAGGAGAATTTGTTCAGCAGACTGTTTGCCTCAGGAACTGGAAAGCACAAAGCAAACACTGTTTGACAATGGTTATCCGGAACTATTCGTTCTGAAGAATTGAAGAGAACGTCCACCGAGAGAAGCACTGACAACGGTCAAAAGAAAAGAACTCCTCATAAAACTTTCTTTTTGAGGAGATTACAAGTCTGAGCTTCAAAGACGCCTATTGGAAAAGGCCATCACTCGTACTTTCCCCACTGCAACGCTACGTACCCAATTCACAATCCAACGAATGGCTTCCGTAAATCTTTAAGATACATTGCCTATCCTTTCCTCATTTATGTTCAAGTACCAATTTCTTTGCTCATATTCAGCAATTTACGTAGGAAGAACGACTAAGCAGTTGTTGCAAACACTCAAGGAGCACAAGCCGGTGTGGTTGAGTACGGGTATAAGGAAAACGATTACAAGCATAGTGGTAGAACACCTTGCAGACACGGGACATCAGGCAACCCGGTTTACTTTGTGTGGTGGAAGTGTATAAGTAAGACCACATGATTTCAGCGATAAGGGTTATCAAATTCAGAGCCGATACTCAGAAAAGTGCATTTTTGAAAACATTCCAATTTTTGAACTTGTATTTTCTTACAAAATTCCGTAATTATTGTGAAATTTATGGCACATTTCGACATCCCTCGTTACGCTATTTCTATTGAAGTTGGTTCGATAGAGATATCTCATTCCTTTCCGAAAATATGGCCAAAATGGTCATTTGAACTGTTCAGTACTTGAAGGTGCTTGTCCTGTGGTGGTGTCACAGAGATGGAAAATAACCTGAAACTGTCAAACAAACTGGATGTGAATCTGGTCAACACTGATGCGCATATCGATCGGGCATGATCGATTGGTGTCCCCGTGCAATCGCTTGACGTGTAGCTTATTAATTCTATTGCAGCATCATGCTACGGAAGTAAGCAATGACTCAAGTGTTGCTGGCATCAGCGGCGGGGGACGAACACACACACGTTTACGCGTACTTGCAAGATAAACAACTAATGTTTGTCATGGGAATTGAGGCGTGTGTGACCGAGAAAAATCTCACAATCGTCCCTTCGCGCTTCAACGGGAGGTAGAGAAATCTGTGCTGCATGGTGGTCATCCAGACAATGCTGGGAGGATTGTCATCGCCGATGAGGTCGACGAGACAGCTTGAAATGCTGCTCAGGCATATTGAAATGATGGTCAGACAAACTGAAATTATACCCGGACAACTCGAATTGCAAAATTTATAGACAATACTTGGGGGGTTGAACGGTGCACGGTCCTGGTAATGCTGATGACGTAAACAGTACTGTCTGAGAAGACACCGAGACAGCATGAAATGGTGGTGACACAACCCGGATATCTTGGAATGATACTGGAACAAATTGAATAACATATTTAAAGCACTGTATGTAGTACACCAAACGACTTTAATTGTTGTGATCTATTGACTGAATGTATCTCTTTCTTGAACGCATTTTCCACCGATAGGAGATTTTATCTGCAACTTCAGTAAATGAGTTTTCAAGAATTTAACAGCTGGTTATTATTATTACCTTGTCATTTGTGATAATCCGACATCAAGTTTCATCTTTCAAAGTTCAGAACGCTTGGATCTCTTGATTTATTCTCTAAAGGTCTCCATCGAAACTCACGGAAGTTGTGTCCCGATGGACCTGATTCAGAGGAAACCAAATTATGAGCTCTGTTGCTGTCGTCATAAAGGTGAATTTTTTTCTCTTTCAGGCAAATCATTTTTAATTAATATTGATCTAAAAATCAACCATTCTAGTGTTGAATCAGAAGGGTACATGTAGAAACCATTTCAAGTGCATCAAGTGTCCATTCACCTGACGAACAATTGATGTCAGAGGTTGTAGAACAAAAATCAATAGGTGTCAGGGTAGTATAGTGCGTTCAATTTATTCTTCACGATGACATACCTGGATTCACAGTAGGAGGAGGTGGTGGTGGAAGTGGGGCCCCCGTTTTCTTCGCATTCGTGTATTCCTTCGCGGCCCGAATAGCATTGATAAACTCCTCGTGCTTCTTACGCCATTGGTTCTTCCGTTCTTGAATCTGAGCAAGCTTGTACTCACGTTCGGCGGCTGCACTACCTTGAACTGATTTTTGTAAGGGTCTTGGGATCCCTTCAGTCCTCTGTTTGCTACTATCAAATATTTTACGCTTTTTTGACGCGTGTTTCAGGCAAACGGTTTCGTGTTTAGCCTGTGAATGTGAAAAATTCAAATGAATTACTAACCGCATAAAATGTGAAAACATGTTAAAAAATACCAAATGCATTATGTTGCAAGCTGCCTTTTGTTTTTCTGTAAAAGAAGAGTTGTTTAAAAAACAACCCAGACTTGCGGTACTGACTGTATAAAAACAAAGCGTAAAATAAATTTTCTGGAAGAAGATCGCAGGTAGAGATGGCTAACAGTAGGAAATGAGTAATGCAGTAGGTTTGTTACATATACACTACTGATAAACTCTAAAACGACTAAAAAGTATCGCAGTGTTTCCGAAGCACTTCAGTGGTTACTCACATGCCAAGTTTGTGATAATTTGAAATTCTGATAAACTGTCGTGTAATGTGATCGCTTTTTATTCATTTTTCAAGATATTCATCATAGGACAACTGAAAGCTTCTTTATGGGGGGGAAGCATAAAGCACAAAACGACAGCCTGCCAACCTAAACTACCAGATTGTCCTAGAGTCGTCTTTCAAAAGAGATAAAACTAATCAGGAAATAAAAGCACTGAATGTGGACGTTTGATCACATATGAATTCCACTGTCTCCAGCAGGGTACATTAGTGAACAGTGAGACCACATCCAAAGAAAACATCGTCGCTGCAGGACAATGGTTATCCGGAGAAGTTGATCGATAAGAACATTCAGCTCACTCCGGAGAAGGAAAACGCCATCTGTGTCCCCAAGAAAGAACTATTCATAAGGATCCCATTTAAGGGGGACTCACATACCGAGAGCCTAGTACAATCACTGAAAGTGGCTGTAAATTCCACCTTCCCCGCAGCAAAACTTAGACCAGTATTCTCTACATCGCCGGTGATGTGAATGCAAGTGAAAGACAAACTGCCAAAACTGAACTCATCCATGATAATCTACTTTTTTAAGTGCGTCTGTGGCGCATGTTACATAGGTCGTACGGTAAGGCGTTTGTCTCAACCCGCGATGGTTGAGTTAGGGAAAAACCGGCTGTATCTCAAGCGCCATTGTGGGGCATCTCGTCAACACCAGCCAGAAGATAGATCTAGAGAAAGCTTTTGATGTGGTTTATCGCATCCCAATCAATCGCTCAAGGGCGGTCCGAGTTTGGACACTATCTATGGCCAAGGCGTGCGCCATTCGCTTACTAGGCCCCGACCTGGGTGCCCAAAAGCGATTGGTGCAGGCGCTCCAATTGCCTTGGCCGAGTGTGAAAACCAAGACGGAACATGACGTGTCACTTGACCCAAGTCGGGAAAGATCACATCAACTAACATGTAAAACTTTTCTACACACACGCACTCCCATTACTCTCTACCTCCGAATATTGACTTTAAAATGAGCCAATGGCTACGATTATGTAAGAATTTTTTCCACTATATGATATGTAAGAGCATGACTAGGAATATCCGAAAACAATTGTTCGCTCACCGACTCGTTTTCTCAATATATATAGATATATATATATATAATGTGTGTGTGTGTACTGTTTCTCAGTGATGTTAGTCACCTCTCCAGACCAAGATTTTAATTGGGCATGACAAAACAAAACGGACGTTGACGTCAAATTACGAGCTGTTTGTCACAATGCTTCAATCAGCCATCTCCAGAATCCGAAAACAACAATTTATGCCTAGGGTGTTATGTACGCAAGACGCTGGAGGTGGCGAGATATAGTCAGTTCGGTTGCGATGGTTACCGATAAGTCAACAATAACAACAGCAACAACACAAAGACAGCAATGTCGGAAAACTAAAAGCCATCAAGAACTATCAACCAGGAACAAAATTTCAGAACTGTATAACAAAACGATTCGAAATGTAAAACAGTACACCAGCCACTGTTTAGAGAGTACCAGGTACCACAGATGACTCAGGTTGGCGAGTAACAGCACTGTATTGTCATTACTAACGCTATTTCATCTTCAATCCTGACGTCATTTAACACTTCATTACCAACAAAGCTGTTTTCCACGACACCTTACTAATCATCAGCAAAAATGATTACAGTACCAGGTGGTTACTGATAGTCCAGGAAAAACACTGCTCTAGGGCAGAGCAAAGCTTATGCCCAACCTCAGTCTTGAAACGGTTCGCATTGCTTGCACACTTCCATCGGCATACTTTAAATCGTCAACTCTAGTCCAACAAAAATTGGGTTGAAAACGTGTTGGGTGGGACATCATCCACGGCAGAACTTAACGATGAGCTGGGATGCAACAGTTTAAAATATTAGGGTTAGTTTATTCGATTTATCTAGGCACTGTTTCATCGGCTTAGGTGAGGTGTTTCATTTCCTTTGATTTCGTTTATCCCCTGCATGTTAAATCCTTTGTATTTGTGATAGAATGCCTATCAAATCCTAAAAAGATTTTGAAAAGGATGGAGAAAGACAGCTCATTTTGTCCTGATACAACACTCTGAGAAGATAAAGGAGTGTCCTGGGTGCTCTATTCATCCACAACCAATCCCACAGAATCAAAGGATGTTTGGAGGCCAAGAAACAAACATTACGGCAGACTTTGGAACTGGGAATGATAATCAAATGTATGACGGAGGGCAAATGTTTGAACAAAATCACTTAGGGTTCACACTATAAATAACACGGCTTCTGCTGGGAAAACGTCTAGTAGTAGAAAAATCAGTTGGATGTACTGAATTAACTGGTGAGTTCGTCAAATACAGAGGAAACGATACGGGAACTGGAAATTACTGCACAGCTGTTTGGACCGCATTGGATCTCATCAGTAGTGCAAATTTATCTCCCCAACTTAGGACTGAACTCGGGACCTTATTGAAGACGGGTTTTCTATAGGTACCATTAACCGATAAATTTATCATCGCTATGGTCTACTGACTACTAACTGATGGGCACAGTGGGCAAATGCATCAAAAACAGAGAGGGATACGCGAGGAGGCTAGTAACCTAAGTATTCTTCCGATGCCTACCAGCATTTGGATAAACTGTATATCAGGACTACATTGTGCGCTCAGACCCTCTTTCTTTGTCTTTATTAACATTTTTCAATTTTACTTCTCTTTATTTAATACACAATGATACAATTCTCAAGGAGGAAGCAGCTAATCAAAGGATTATCGTGCAACACACAACTAGGGAGAATCCGGCGGCGGGGTTGAGATTTGAACACATGTCCTCCGGGGTGATAATTTGGTGACGTTACCACCGGACCACCACCGCCCAAGTCGAGTCGGCTTCCAAAACCCAGCACAAGGTAATTCACATACTAATCGGTAACCATTAAAAAGAAAACGAATACTGGAATAAAACGTTGCAGAAAAGCTCTAGCCTAAGAAGTCTTGTGGTAAAATAAACGGGAGCCAACAATAATTTGGAACATACACACCATGAATCAGTATTGATTGATTTTATTGACCATCTTTCGGACTTCACCTTCACACATAATCCTCAGTTAACCGATTCAACCATACACTCGGAAGCACTAAACTCGAGTTTCGCTTTTATTAGAGCTCATTAGTAGTACATATCCAACGTCCCGTGCAGGTGAAGTCCGGAGGATAGTCAGTCAAATCAATCAATATTAATTATCCCACACACACTACTCACAATTAACTGTGAGTCAAATTCGAAGATGAATTATTATATCAAGTCCAACCCTAACCTCACGATAATGGAGTTTGACGCAGAGTAAGCGTTGTTTTCGAACGGTGCAATTCATCTTCAACAGCAATCCTCAGCTCTAATGTCCAGAAACGATTACAATAAAATCCTCACTTTTCTGATGTGCAGAACTTCTCTCCACAAAGTGCTATAGAGCAGTCACTTTCCTGTGGATAAATTGGTCAGAGCACTCTACAAATTAACAATGCAGCACCATAACGACATAAATTCAGCAACTAACTACAGTTCAGTAGAGCCGTTTTAATAAGTGGAGTTTTCCGAACTTAAACTCGGAATCTGCTGAATTGTTCTATCAGTGTGGAAACGAAACGTGGTCATCTAGAAGCAGAGAGTTAACCTAAATGGAACAAAGAATCTGCCGAATATTGCACTTAGAATACGGTTATACACATTGTAGGCATGTAGACCATTTGATTCGGAATACACCTAGTATAAACGCAAGTTCTTCTTGCACCATTTTTACTCTTTTTGAGCCTATTCCAATGAATCATAGTCGCGTACAAGCATCGAGCACATCATCGAAGTACCATGGAGACCTGGAATTGTATACCACTTTCGATTAAAATGAAACATTATTTGCTTCCAACGTTGTTGTCTTCTGTACCCCAGTTCCGCCAAGTTCTATTGTTATTCTGCTTTGGCAACAGGTTTCATCTCAAGCCGGTGATAAATATATACATGTGGTCTGACTCTGGTGCCGTCCTTTATGGACCCTTTCTAAATTTTCTTCTAATTCGAAGCAACAGAGTATGTTTTTTGCACCACTGAAATGCAAAATCGGTCATCGATTAACTGTGGTCAAACGATTCATGCTTGTTTTAAGCGGACTGCGTTTTGAACCCCTAGAAATTACTTGCTTTGACATAAGCAAGGTAACCTGGTAGTATTGTGACCAATATAAAATCATTAATTGGTTTCCGTGATATAAAGATGATCCCACCATTATTTGTCGGGCAAGCATTCTTCGCTCAAACCCTTGTGAAATAGTTATAGTTTTTCAGATTCACAACCATCAGCTTAGCCCAGTCGTGCTATGAATTTGGCGACTATCCACTGGTCATCAATTTAGTTTACTAATAAGCAAGAAGTAAATAAATGAATCTATCACTAGAAACACGACCAAGACAGAAGAACGGTAGCGAAAATCTGCGTAAAAGGTAAACAGATTTACAAGTATCACGGTTTGAGACACCACCCCATATCACTCAGTGTCTTCAAATATTGAATAGTTTGATTTTTAGATCCTCAATCAGGAAGTTTGGGACGATCTGCCTGACAGAGGCCTGGTATTCACCAACCGACTATCTGCTTTTTCGAATATTACATGCAAAGAAAATGAAATCGTTGAAATGTGTTACACATACTTTAGTCACGTCAATCTAAAGAGGTCAAGAAATTCTTTCAGTGGGTGACGGCGATCAGTTTAACCTTAGCATTGCTTTGGTAGTTATCCCATCAGACTTGTGCAGAGTATCTAGCACATTTCAAATTTGCCGGAATTGCTACCCCAGTAGGGTAATGATTATTCACTTACTTAATTGTCCTAAGTATCAGATGATTATTAAGATTATTAGACAACCAATTAGCGTATAGAAGGACTCAGTTTTGTAGTTAACTAATATTGATTTAAGTAATTATTTCAACATCAATTGTTACCTTATTGCACCCTCTCTGGAGCACTCTACTTTGTATCTGATTAATTTATATGCAGGGTTGATATCATGTGCATGCGGAGTAACAAAAAGCGATGAATCATGAACTGATTGATCAAGTTGCGGAACCATGAAGAACCTTCTTCTTGCGACCAGCTTTATACAGGATGACTGTTTATAGCAGACGCGCTTGCAAATTTGACCAATAATTTGTGGTATCCTTTTTCCTCGAACACTAATAAATAATAAGAATATATGGCTTGCTACTCAAGCAGCACCAGCGTCAACATTGATTTACCGTCGTAAAGACGCTTACGTTTCATTAAACGCGGATTATCTCGTCACAAGGAACGGATAGACAATGCGGGATTACATTAGGGTCTCCGCATGACACATTTTCAGCCCAAATGTTAGTAAGCAATTAAAATGGAATGGGATTGGAGACAAATACACACTATTAACTTCCAAAATACTAGAAGTCATTATGGCTGATCGGCGATTTATCCTATTTAATTATATATATTCGTTTATGTTAGTGAAATTGGCAACAATGTATGTTCACGAAAATATGTTTCACCAAGGCAACTCCTTATTTGAATATTTCATTAAATAAACTTGACCGCGCATATTACTAGCCATTTTATGCATATCTTGGCTTTACCGGCATACATCCATCGTATCCGTATCATGTATCGATAATCGAACATGAGAAAATCTAAAGCAAGTTATCGTCAAGTAATTATCACTATTTGATAATAATTGACCATATTGATGTGTTTACTTATTTTTAGATAGAAAGGATGTCCAACATGGGTTAGGCTGGCAAGAGACTTTATCTGCGTTATAATTCGATTGCTAATATCAAAATAACTGACTACGAGCATCAGCTGTCAAGATACTAATGAGACGGAATCTATTGTGGATGGCAGACTGACTCCTTAATAAATGGTCAGACAAGTACTATACTTTTCACATGTTCTTATGTAGAGGCAGTTTCTTGACATAATTTCAGATATGCTAGCTCTAAATACATCACTATAAGGATCCAGCGATTTATTCAACGACGTCAGCTTTCTGCGTCAATAAGTTAATAAATTGAAAGACTGCTCTAATACTAATTCCAAGTGATATAACCAATTCCCTTTCCACGCAATCCAAGGGGATTTATTTTATTTGTACTGTGAATGGCCGGTTGGGCGAATAGATTTTTCGTGTTTACAGAATCTGTAATTTCGTTTCCGTCGGCGTTAAGTTTAATATTGCTCAACATCTTGTTCGGCAGATTTGAAGATTTTATGGCGATTTTGAAAAGTTCAGTAGCCTCGGTGGAATTCGAACCCACGCATGGACGCCGCCTACGCTTTGTACGCGCACGCTCTACCAGCTGAGTTACGAGGCTATACCGATAGCACTGATCTTTTCATATTTGACTTACCCATCCAAATTACAGAAGTATATGGTTTACCAGAGAAATGTAGTACACTGACAATGAAATAATTAATTGGATAACTGTGCAAATGTCCAATGAGAATGGACCAACAAGTATTATTATTTGGTGAAAAGGTGGTCTTTTGGAGAAAACAAGAAAATTTAAAGCTCTATTGCCGAAATTATTTTTGCCAACACTCAAGCATCCCCTTGCGTCTCGTTTGGGGTGCCCCGGTGAGGCTGAAGGGAGTCACTTCCCTGTTAGCAAGTCCCGCCAGCGTACGAATCCAGTGCTGCTCCAAACTGCGAATTCGACGCACACTTTTTGCACCATAAATTCTGAACTAAAGACGCTTATCTGACTACCAAAGGACTCTCCAATAACAAACATGCTGCATGGGATGTCATAGGTAATGGGAGAGAAATGCATTAAAACTCACTAAATGGCTCGTAGGAGGCGTTTCGTGGGACGCGTTCAGAAACTCACAGCACTTGTTGCAAACTCGCTTTTTGCTAAACTTTGCAACTCAACCCCGGTTAGGCCTTACTGACTATCGGCTTTCGGCGATTGTTGAATGTTCAACAAATGCGGACAGTTTCAGTTTAGTTCGAGTAGCGGAAACTTTGAACGTTAGAAAGACAGAATTCCGACAATTCTTTTTTGATCGGTGATCTATAGCCCTCGTAAGCATAACAGAAGAGATTTGGGAAATTTTAAGTTGATAACTCAATTTTAACCATTTTAAACTTTCCAAAATGCTTTTCTGCTCTACCAGCATAGCTGTAGGTTAGAGAGTCCTAATCGAGTCTCATTTGAGTCTGGCTTTTTGACATTTTCTTACTCGGTGACAACGCACCAATGATTTAAGAGTTGTTGAATCGATTGACAATTGAGGTTACTCGCTATGGTATATCCTTTACACCTTCAAAATGCAAAGTATTGTTCAAATATTGGCAAGAACCCGTTTCTGCACTTTCTTTGGACAATGACTCCCTGGAAGTAGTCGAAAGCTTTGTCTACCCGGGGAGTTGCATAACGGATGGCGGAGCTGTAAGCAAGATCTCTCAACGCGTAATCAAAGCTAGATTAGTGTTTGTTAATCTGCGGTATCTCTGGCGCCGGCGCGACATCTCTTTCACTGAAAGGGTGTGTGTATTGCGCGACGGGATGCTCCATGTTGCTCTATGGCTGTGAAGTCTAGCCTCCCCGAGCAGATCACGTAGAAACACTATCCGTATTTAACAACCGTTGTCTGCGCAACATCGCCCTCGTATGGTGAGGGCCTCGCGTGAATAACGATGTGGTCAGATGAAGTGTTCTAAGATCAGGTAGTCTTCAGTTGATAAAAAGAATTTCACAGCATCCTCTTTAGTGGCTAGGGNTACGTCCTACAAAGCAAACAATATAAGTCGGTGCACGTTAGCCGCGGCGACCCCTCCTACCAAAATGATCGACATGTATACTGAATGCTCATGAGTAGTATCAAATGTTCTATTGACCATAAAGCAGAACACTGATTTATTACATATTTATTATGTCAATCATAAGTATAAAAGGCATCTAGTGAATGTTCAACACGGAAACAACTATCTGATATGTTGCAGGAACTTGTGAATGTCATTATGGAACATCGGAATTGAAAATTCAAACCACCCAGATAGTCCCAGATCATACCAGCGACAAATACTGCTATATTCTTCAGTCAGTGTTTTATTCGGCTCCAGAATGCACATGCACGGTACGTTTCCCACTGGTCTGTATGCGCCGTGGTTCGAGGCATCACCCTACGTTTCACTATAGACAGAGTGTGGACGCTAATCGATCTTCTAAACGTTGGACATAGCCTTTCTTTAGGTACTACAATGAAAAAACATTAGAAATTGACCAAAACAAATCTCGGAAGGAGTCCCTGTAGTGGCCTGATTGTACGAAAAAAAGGAGCAATCCACGAGGACGTTTTCCGTTCATATTTTCTTCACAATCAACTCTGACTCCAACTAGGATATTTCTTTGTTTTATTTCTGCTTGTTCTACCGAGCACGGTTTTCCGCTCAGGCATATATATAAGCTGGGTCCTGTTCAAACCCACGCAAAACGTGTGACCCGCTTTCGCTTTGCTACTGCATTTATTGCTTGCATTGTTTAGCGTCACCTTGGCACGTTTCGGTACTATCTAGTACCACGATTCGCCAATAAACGTTTACGACTCCCACGAGTGTTTTGTCTATCTCGGGCAACGAGACACTAGGAGGTCGCGCGCATATTGAGACTCGTAAGAAGACTTACCGGTAGGCCGTCAACTCCGATTAGCTTCATCCCCACGGGTAACGTGCGCCTATAACCTTATATATATTATAACTTCTAAAGTAATATTTATTATTATTATTGATAATAATAAAATAATAATGATATGATAATATTATCATATGCATGTATGTAAGCATTATATAATGCATACATACACTTAATTAACTATAAAAACGTATCGTTCAAGACAAATGAACATATATCACACCTCTGTAATAAATAGCACAGGTGTGTAATTTACTTCGAGATAGTTACAATTTCATAAGTAATTGTAAATTTCTAATTATTCAGCATGTCTTATCTTACCAGAATCTCAGAAGTAAACTGGCGACCGCAAACTTTGCAAGGAAACCGCACAATATCCACTTCCTCTTCGTCTGCTAAGGATCAAATGGTTTTTATGATTATAATATATATATAATATATAAATATATAATTATTGTCACCTGGAAAAGCGTCATAGTTCATTACGCGCCGTTGACAGAAACCAATATCAACGCGTGATTAGTCTATTTAAACAAAAGATCAGGTTGGACAGAAAGGCAAAAGCTTTCGCCAACCCAGCGTCTACATTCTTGCTCCAGTGGGAACCAACGTTATTCCGGAGCTTCGGCTTCTTGTCGACTGCGCGACCACAGGTGATTTCTTCGTCCAGAACAGCACCTTAAAAAATCTCTGGATATAGGCTGATCCAGACCCCATCTAGTTGCCTTTTGAACTCATCGACTGTCCTAACGTCCAACAGTGAAGATAGTAGTTGATTCCCCTCATCTAGCACCATACTCGTGAAGAAGTTTTATCCAGTGTTGTTTCAGCTCTGGTTAGGTCAGTTCAGGTTGCACAGGACAGGAGAAGGCCACGGCCAACCAAGCGTCCAGAGTTCCTTCAATAGTAAGCCACATTTTTACTCCTAACACTGCGATTGTTCTATATTGTGGTTCTTCACGTTTTCTGCTCGTTCCAGTTGTTTCCGCCTCTGCAAGGGAAGAGGAAGAAAAGAAAAATATCTTCTTTCCTTGTTCATGCGCGAGACCTCACATTTGGAAGCGTTCCTTTTTCGGGGTTCAGTAGACGAAAAAACCGAAAATTGATTTGAGACCTAATCCTACACGCCTAGCTCGGGAAATAAGTCTAACCAGCGCATGTCGAGCTTTTTCTTTAAAGCATGTACGCTCCTTAGCTCCACCAGCCACTGTGGTAACTCATTACATGAGTTAACCAATCTGTTGCTGAAGACGTTTGAGCGCACCGCTAGTCTCTTGCGCAAATTCTTGAGTTTGTAAACATTCCCCCTACCCTGCTTACATGGCTTCCCTCGCTGCCCTCTGATCATCCTTGTGGCTTATCGTTGGTCCCTCCCGAGACAAGCGGTGTCCTTTGTGCAGAACGAAACCNTTACTCTAGATGCGGTCGAACAATCGCCTTGTATAGGGGCAGTTTATAATTTGTTATGAATTGGTGATTAGATGTATATTTCGCGAAGCCCGTGAAGCTTGCACAAAGTATGAACATATGTTAACAATAATCATATGTACAGCAAGAGTGCAGATATATAGACGGTCTAGTTAGAAGATATACACAGTGTAGATGGTAGGAGAGCGGAACGAAGACTGCAGTGCAAACGGAACACAAGGTGGACAAGGTCATAAACGTTGATGAGGTATAATGGCCTCCTGTTTTCTGCATATTAGTGCCGACCGCAGTCTAAAGAGCTCTCTACGGGCGCGATGCGTCGCTGTGGCACACAGGTCTGCCCATTTTCTGAAGTCCAGGTTGTATACTTCCACTTCCTCACTCTCGTCTACACACGATGTTACCTCATCCAAAAAGTGCAAAAGATTCCCGAGACACGATATTCCGTTTTCGAGTCGGTTCTGTTTCGCAATCAACAGGCGGTTGTGAGTGAGGTATTCGCCAAAGTGGGTTCGGATGATTCTATGTAGAGCATTGCACAAGATGCTCGTGAGACTTACTGGACGATAATTTTCCATTTTTTCTCCGACCTCCCTGGTGTATGGCGA